TGAAGAATTTGGTTTTGGAAAACCAACAGCAGCACCACAACCACCACAACCACACCAACCAGCAGCATAACCAGCAGCAGCAGCAGCAGCAGCAGCAGCAGCAGCAGCAGCAGCAGCAGCAGCAGGAGTCACCATGAGCCCCCGTCGCTGCTTAAGCGCGAGCAGTTTGGTCTTGGGGAACCCGCAGCAGCACCCCAACCACCCCCACCAGCAGCAGCAGCAGCAGCAGCAGCACAATCACCAGCAGTAGCAGCAGCAGCAGCAGCAGCAGCAGCAGCAGCAGCAGCAGGAGGAGTCACCATGAGCCCTCGCCGCTGCTGGAGCGCGAGCAGTTTGGTCTTCCGGAACCAGCAGCAGCACCCCAACCACCCCCACCAGCAGCAGCAGCAGCAGCAGCAGCAGCAGCAGCAGCAGCAGCAGCAGCAGCAGCAGAATTCACCATGAGCCCTCGCCGCTGCTGGAGCGCGAGCAGTTTGGTCTTGGGGAGCGCCTGTGCCACGTAGCGGGGGAGGTGTCTGTACAGCTCAGGATGGGTTCCGGGATTTGAAAAGTCATTTACAATTATCATTTCTTTTAAAAGTTTCGGAGAAGTTCTGTTGAAGACGGAGTGCAGCGAGCGCAGCAGCGCGGACAGCAGCTCGTTGTGCAGCACCACCACCACGGACACCTCCTGCGCTGCTGCTGCTGCTGCGCCTCCTGCTGCTGCTGCTGCTGCTGCTGCTGCTGCTGCTGCGAACTCTGCCCGCAGCTCCGCGCACTCCGCTGTGTCGAAGGAAGGCACTGGCCGGTCCAAACTCAAAGTGTCGCTCAACGCAGAGTTGAAGCAGTAACCTGCGCAGCAGCAGCAGCAGCAGCAGCAGCAGCAGCAGCAGCAGCAGTGCAGCAGCAGCAGCAGCAGCAGCAGCAGCAGCAGCAGCAACGCAGCAGCAGCAGCAGCAGCAGTGCAGCAGCAGCAGCAGCAGTGCAGCAGCAGCAGCAGTGCAGCAGCAGCAGCAGCAGCAGCAGAGAATAAGGAGATATGCACAAAAGTGCAAGGGAAGATCTACAATTAATGTCAACCATTGAGACATATTTGGATTAAAAGTATTTGTGGAAAAATAAATAAAATGAATTTTATTTAATTCTTTTAATTCAAAATTCAAAATTAATTCTTTTAATTAAATAAAATAAAATTAAACTGGAAGCACCCGCTTGCTCCGCAGCTACAGTCTCCCCTTGAAAGCGTGCAGCAGCAGCAGCAACTGCTGCAGCAGCAGCAGCAACTGCAGCAGCAGCAGCAGCAACTGCTGCAGCAGCAGCAGCAACTGCTGCAGCAGCAGCAGCAACTGCTGCAGCAGCAGCAACTGCTGCAGCAGCAGCAACTGCTGCAGCAGCAGCAACTGCTGCCGCTGCTGCCACTGCTGCTGCTCCTGCTACTTCTCCTGCTGCTGCTGCATTTACTGCTGCTGCTGCTGCATTTGCTGCTGCTGCTGCTGCATTTACTGCTGCTGCTGCTGCATTTACTGCTGCTGCTGCTGCTGCTGCAATTACTCGTATAGTAGAGGCGCAGCTTCTCTTCGGTTTGATGCTACTGCAACTGCTGCTACATCTGCTGCTGCTGCTGCTGCTGCTGCTGCTGCTGCAGCAATTACCTTTGTAGGAGAGTCGCAGCTGCTCTTCAGTTTGCTGCTGCAGCGGGGGCTTCGGCTCCCACAGGCGGCGGCCAGCAGCATCAACTCCGACGCGGCCGTGGAGGAATTCTTCAGTTGCTCCTTTGAAGACCTGCGCAAACAATGCAGTCTAGCTAGCTAGCTAGCTGGCTAGCTAGCTAGCTGGCTAGCTGGCTAGCTAGCTGGCTAGCTGGCTAGCTAGCCAGCTAGCTGGCTGGCTGGCTGGGTGGCTTGATAGGTGGCTCGCTAGGTCGCTAGCTAGCTAGCTAGCTAGCTAGCTAGCTAGGTGGCTTGGTAGCTGGCTAGCTAGCTAGCTAGCTAGCTAGCTAGGTGCCTTGGTGGCTGGCTGGCTGGCTAGCTAGCTAGCTGGCTGGGTGGCTGGCGAGTTGGCTGGGTGGCTAGCTGGCTGCCTGGCTGGCTAGCAACATGGTTAGCTAGCTAGCTAGCTGCCTCGTTGGCTGGCTAGCTAGCTAGCTGGCTAGACGGCTAGCTAGCTAGCTAGCTGCCTAGCGCTGGCTGGAAGAAGAGCTAGCTGGGCAGCCAGACAGGTAGCTAGCTAGCCAGCTAGCTAGCTAGGCAGCTAGCTAGCTAGGCAGCTAGCTTGGCTGAGAGCTAGCTACGCAGCCAGCTAGCCACAACAGCGAACTAGCCAGCAAGCTAGAAGGATAGCTGCCTCAAGAACTGGTTAGCTAGCTAGCTAGCCGGAGAGCTAGCAAGCTAGCTAGCTAGCTGGAGCGCCAGCTAGCTAGCTAGCTAGCTAAAAAGCCGCAAGCGCAGATGCCACCAAGACTTTCGCTATCTACCCAACCCCCAACTGGAGATGCAGCTACACAGCTAGCTAGCTAGCTAGCTAGCCAGCTAGCTAGCTAGCTAGCTAGCTAGCTATATGGCTGGCTAGCTATATGGCTAGTTAGCTGGCTAGCTAGCTAGCAAGCTGGGTAGCTAGCTAGCTAGCTAGCTATATGGCTAGCTAGCTATATGGCTAGTTAGCTGGCTAGCTGGCTAGCTAGCTGGCTAGCTAGCTAGCTAGCTAGCTAGCTAGCTGTTTGGGCGCACCGTCTCTGTTCTCTCGGAGACGGTGAGGAGGGCGGGAAGGCCTTTGACGAGAATTTCAGTTTGGTTAAATTCGAATTCGTTATCCGCTGATTTAGGGTTTGGGTGGCTGCTGAGTTCTCTGGGGGCCCCCAAACCCTTCTGCGGCTCCAAACCCTCAAACCCTAAACCCTCCTTTCCCAAAACCCTAAACCCTAAACCCTCGCCCCCGCAACAACCCGCAGCAAACAAGTACAAACTTATGCACGAAAACCCCAAAAGGGCCCCCAGCCCAAACCACAAAAGCAAAACCCTAAACAAGCTGGGGGCCCCCAGGGGGCCCCCCGGGGGGCCCCCTAGGGGCCCCCCAGGGGGGCCCCCCAGGGGGCCCCCAGGGGGGGCCCCCGGGGGCCCCTCTCCCTTGACCTTAGCTGCGTGGCGCTGCCTCGGAGACCCCTGGGGGCCCCCAGGGGGGCCCCCAGAGGGGCCCCCAGGGGGGCCCCCAGAGGGGCCCCCAGGGGGGCCCCCAGGGGAGGCCCCGGAGGGGGCCCCAGGGGGGCCCCCAGGGGGGCCCCCGGCGTTGGGGGAATGCTGGAGGGGAGAGACACCCCCTTTGCGTCTCTGCAGCGCCATTTTGCTGCTGCTGCTGCTGCTGCTGCTGCTAGCTAGCTGCTGCTGCTGCTGCTGCAGATCTGGGAAGGAGACAGGGGGCCCCCCGGGTGGAGACAGGGGCCCCCTGGAAGAGTCTGTTGGCGATAAAGGGCTCACGCAAAGGGCGAGGGTTTAGGGTTTAGGGTTTAGGGTTTAGGGTTTGGGGTTTAGGGTTTTCATTTTTGCAGGGAAGGGGAATAGGCACGGGTGCCGACGCAACACGGCAGGGGCCCCTGAAACGGAGAGGTTTTGAATCAAATGACTGTTAAATAAATAAATAATTAATTAAATAAATAATTAATTAATTAAAAATAATTAAATTAAATTAAAAAGAACCAAAAAGGGAGAGAAGGCGCAAGTAATACGCTGAGACAGACTCGGTGGCGCTGCTGCTGCTGCTGCTGCTGCAGCAGCAGCAGCAAGTGGTCCTCGAGACTCTGTCGCTGTTTAAATTTGTGAAAATAATAAAATAAATAAATAAATAAATAAATAAAAATAAATAAATAAATAAATTTAATTCAAATAAACCATTTGTGGCTTTATTTCCGCCTAGGTCTGCGCCACCGAGCTGTCTAGACACCCGAAACGACGCGGCTCAACAGCCCAGAGTCGTTTTCGTTTCTTCTTTCCAATCAAATCATTTTATTTCTCAAATTCTTTTATTCATTTCAAATTTTGTCATTTAAAATGCTTTTATCTTCTTAAAGTCGACGGAGCAGCAGCAGCAACCCCCTGCTGCAAACCCTAAACCCTAAACCCTAAACCCTAGACCCTCTGCAGTCAGAACCCGAAACCCAGTGGGTGGGTAGCTAGCTTACTGGCTAGCTAGCTAGCTAGCTAAACCCAGTAGTGGCTAGCTAGCTAGCTGCCTCCCGCCAGCCATTTGCACACAGCTGCAAGTAGCTAGCTACAGCTAGCTGCGCCGCAGCAGCTGGCCGCAGCTAGCCAGGAGTGGCCAACCATAACTAGCTAGCTGTGGCTAGCCAAGTGCAGCTAGCCGTAGCCAGCAGATCAGCGACAGCTAGCTAGCCGTGGAAAGCTAGCTAGCTGTAGATAGCTAGCTAGCTGCAGCTAGCTATCTACAGCTAGCTAGCTGCAGCTAGCAAGGCGTAGCTCGCTAGCTGTGGCTAGCTAGCTGCAGCCAGTCGCAGGTAGCCAGCTAGCTGTAGCGAGCCAGCTGTAGCTAGCTAGCTGCAGCCAGCTAGCTGCAGCTAGCTAGCCACAGCCAGCTAACTGCAGCCAACTTACTCTAGCTGGCTAGCTGCAGCTAGCTAGCTGCAACCAGCTTGCTCTAGCTAGCTAGCTGCAGCTAGCTAGCTGAACCGTCTCTGCTGCACCCGGGGCCCCAAAGACTTCAAAAAGAAAAAGACAATTAACATTGACTTAAATGAGTTAAATGACTTTTCCAATTCTTCTAATTTACAAATGAACTTCCAGACATCAAAGACACCCCACAAAACGCTACAAGGGGGCCCCAAACAATCCTACCCGGGGCCTCAACAAAAGGGCACAACGGGGGCCCCCGGGGGGCCCCGGGGGCCCCCGGGGGCCCCCCTGGGCCCCCGTTGTGCCCTTTTGGGGGCCCCCGGGGGCCCCCCGGGGCCCCCGGAAGACCCCGGAGGGCTCTGGGGGCCCCCGGAGGCCCGCTGGGGCCTCTGGGGGCCCCTGTGGGGGCCCCCTGGGGATTCAAAAGGGTCTTTAGAAGGGGCCCCCAGGACTTCTGGGGGCCCCTAGGGATCCCCAGGGCTGTTGGGGGCCCCTAGGGGCCCCCAAGGGGTTCACTGGCCCCAGGGGCCCCCAGGGCATTTGGGGGCCCCTAGGGGCCCCCAGGATCTCGTAGGGGCCCCTAAAGCCTGTGGCCAGAGGGGGCCCCCAGGGGGAACTTTGGGGGCCCTGTGGGGCCCCACACCCAGGGGCCCCCACGGCTCCTAGAGGAGACTTCAGGGGGCCCCCAGGGGCCCCAAAAGAGCCTCTAGGGGGCCCTAGGGGCCCTAAAAGACCTTTAGGGGCCCCTAGGGGCCCCTAAATAGCCTCTGGGGGCCCCTAGGGGCCCCCAAATGTTCTTTAAGGGCCTCGAGGGGCCCCTGAATGGTCTTTAGGGGCCCCCAGGGGCCCCCAAGGGCCCCCATGGCCAAATAAAATCCCAAGAGTCCCTAGGGGGCCCCCCTGGGACCCCCCAGGGGGCCCCCAAGGGGCCCCTCTGGGGCCCCCCTGGGGCCCCCTTAGGGGCCCCGCAGGGGGCCCCTCAGGGGGCCCCCTTAGGGGCCCCCTGGGGGCCCCCTGGGGGCCCCCTGGGGGCCCCTAAAGGGTTCGCTTTGGGTGCTTTGGGCGATGCGATTTTGTTAGTCTATTTTGTGGATTGCATTGTTTTGAAGTGCAGCATTTAAATGGATTAAATAAATTAAATAATTGTTTTTTAATTAAATTAATTAATTTAATTATTTAAATTGAATTAAATTAATTAATTTAATTAAGTGCTTCACTCTTCTTCTTCGGACTCTTCTTCAGAAGACTCTTCCGAACTTTCTTCTGAAGAAGAGGAAGAGGAGGAGCCTGAAGAAAATAAATTAAAACAAATTAAATTAAATTAAATAATTAATTAATTAAATTAATTAAAATAATTAAATTAATTAATTAATTTAATTTAATTTAATTAATTAAATTGTATTTGATAAAGGCTGCGCATTTTACTTCTCACGAAGAAGCCGTAGGAAGCACATTTTATATTTAGAGCTGCAGCAGGGTTTAGGGTTTAGGGTTTAGGGTTTAGGGTTTAGGGTTTAAAGTTTAGGGTTTAGGGTTTAGAGTTTAGGGTTTAGGGTTTAGGGTTTAGGGTTTAGGGTTTGAGGTTTGAAGTTTACTGGAGGGTGCTTTGCTGGGTTTTGCAGCTGCTGGTTGTTTTGCTTTTGCTGCTGCTGCTGGTGCTTTTGCTGCTGCTGCTGCTGCTGCTGGTGCTGCTGCTTCTGCAGGTTTGACTGAGACCTTTGGCAGCGCAGCAGCAGCAGCAGCAGCAGGCTTTTGCTGCTTGTTTGCTGCTGCTGCTGCTGCTGCTGCTGCTGCAGATCCCTTTGCAGCTGCGGGGCCCTTCTCGTCGCTGCTGCTGCTGCTCTCCTCCTCGGACTCCTCTTCAGACTCGCTGCTGCTGCTGCTGCTGCTGCTGCTGCTGCTGCTGCCGCTGCTGCTGCTGCTGCTGCTGCTGCTGCTGAGGGAATATCCCTCATGCACAACGCTGGGGTCTGCTATGGCCACTGCGAGGGCCTCCACGCAGGCCTAAAAGAAAAAGAAATGAAATATAAAATGAATAAAAATGGAATTAAAAATAGATTTAAAAACAGATTAAAAACAGATTAAAAACAGATTTAAAAAGAGATTTAAAGAAGATTGAAAGGTGCAAATGATTAAAAGCAATAGCAGAGTTTAAAGGAGACAAAAAGGAGACAAAAAAGGGAAAAAAGGAATAAAAAAAAGATCAAATGAAACAAAAAAAGGACAAAAAGGCAAAACAAAAAGATGGAAAAAAGGGGAAATAGAAAGAGAAAAAAAGACAAAAAAGGAAACAGAAAAAGACGAAAACCGACAAAACAAGAAATACAAAAAAGAGACAGAAAAGGGATTAAAAAGAGACAAAAAAGAAATAAAAGAGAGACAAAAAGGGGACAAAAAGAGGCAAAAAAGAAACAAAAAAGAGACAAAAAAAGAGACAAAAAAAGAGACAAAAAAGAAACAAAAGGGGGATAAAAAGAGACAAAAAAGGACAAAAGAGATAAAAGGGACAAAAAGACAAAAAGGGTTCAAAAAAGCCGCCAAAAGGCGCTGAAGAGTTGAAAAAAAAAGCCTTAAAAGATCTGAAGAAGAAAAAGAAGAAAAGGAGAAGAAGTGGAGAAAGAATGGAAGAAAAGAGGAAAAAAAAGGAAAGAAAAAGACAAAAAATAAAATAAAAAATCAAAAAAATAAAAAAATAAAAAAATAAAAAAATAACAAACTCCTGCTGCCTGCGGAAGCCGCTTGTCCAGAGGGTCTGGAGGCCGAAAAAAAGAAGGCGCGAAAATCTCGGCGACTTTTTCGAGAGTCATCTAAAAATAAAAATAAAATAAATAAAATAAATAAAATAAATTAATTAAATTAAATTAAATTAATTAAATTAATTTAATTAATTAAATTAAATTAAATTAATTAAATTAGATTAAATTAATTAAATTGAATTGATTAATCCAATTTAATCCGCTCGGGGGAATCCAACTTGTTCTTTAATTTGATTTGTCTGATGCAAATTAAAATTAAAACTTTTGGAGTTTTTGTTTATTTGGAAAAAACATTTTTTGTTTTTTTGCAACAAAGTAATGCTTTCGGAGTTGGTTAAGTGGACTTTGTTTCGAGCATTAAATCAACAGGGTTTAGGGTTTAGGGTTTAGGGTTTAGGGTTTAGGGTTTAGGGTTTAGGGTTTAGGGTTTGGGACTTACTAAATTCCTTGCAGACTGCGTCGTGATTTCCTTTAAAAGGTATAAAATGAACTGCGCAAATAAGCAAAAGGAAAGCCCCAAACCCTAAACCCTAAACCCTAAACCCTAAACCCTAAACCCTAAACCCTAAACCCTAAACCCTAAACGCTAAACCCTTGCTCACCATTACACATTGCTTTTCATTGTGTGGCACTCCCATGAAGAGCTGCGGACAGACAAAAACAGAATCAGCGCCTTTTCCTCTTCTTAATTTAATTTAATTTAAATTAAATTAAATTTAATTTTAATTTAATTTAATTTAATTTAATTCAATTTAATTTAATTTAATTTAATTTAACTTGTTTACTTATTTTCCTCGCGTGGGGTCTTTCCGGTGTATGTACACCAGGGCCCCTTTTCGTTTCTAGAAAAGAAAACTTTTGTTTCTTTTCGATTAAACAATTAAAGTTTATTTTCAATTCATCTTTTATTATTTTTATTTATTTGTTTTATTGTTTGTTGGCATTTAAAAAACAAATAAAATGTTTTTTAAATCCAAAAATCCCAAAATTCAAAAAACACTTTTGCACTGCTAGTTCAGGTGTACGTACACCCCACGCGAGAAGGCCATGGAAGGCATTCAAGTGTCTGTACACCCCAAATAAATGCAAAAGAACCGAAAAGTCTTCAAATAAATTAATAAAATAAATAAATAAATAAATAAATAAATAAATAAATAAATAAATAAATAAATAAATAAATAATTAATTAATTAGTTAAATTATTAGCTAATTAATTAAGTTTAGTAAATAAAATAAATAAATTATTTTATTTATTTATTTTTCTCAAAACTCACTGCCTTCATTTCCGTGATGTAGCGGTTCCTCCCTCCTCCCGCCGCTGCACCCAAACCCCAACCCCCAAACCCCAAACCCTAAACCCTAAACCCTAAACCCCAAACCCTAAACCCCAAACCCTAAACCCTAAACCCCAAACCCCAAACCCCAAACCCCAAACCCCAAACTCCAAAGCCCAAACCCTAAACCCTAAACCCTAAACCCTAAACCTCACGAGGAGCGTGTCGTAGTAGGGTTTTTTGGCCTCGAGGGTTTGAGGGTTTAGGCGTTTGTGCTGCAGCAGCAAACCCTCGTCGCTAAACCCTGATCCAGCGCGGCAGCAGCTTTGGAAGGTTTCCGTCTTGGGGTCGTAAACCGCCAACAAATAAGCCCCAAACACTCCGCTCCGCTTCCCCTGATCAAACCCTAAACCCTAAACCCTAAACCCTAAACCCTAAACCCTAAACCCTAGGCCGCAGGCCCTAGGCAGGGGCCGGGCGCCCCGCTCCGCTCGCGCTGCCCACAAACCCTAAACCCTAAACCCTAAACCCTATGTCCAGCAGAAGAGCCTCAAACAACTTGCTGCGCTTGCCCTGAGGCAAACCCTAAACCCTAAACCCTAGACCCCAAACCCTAGACGCTGCTGGGGCAAAACGTAGGGCGTGGCTGCTCTGAGGGTTTAGGGTTTAGGGTTTAGGGTTTAGGGTTTGTTTTCGGCGGTTTGGGGGCTGCCGGCGCCGCGCGCGGCGCAGCAGGCGCCGCGCGCCGCGGCGCCTAGGGTTTAGGGTTTAGGGTTTAGGGTTTAGGGTTTGCCTTTCCGTAAAAAGCGCCAATCGGGACCAAGTCCACGGAGTCCGTCAAACCCTCGACATAATCTTTTTTCACTTTCAGCCAATTGTTGCAGCGCTTCGAGGGTTCGTAAACCTCCCCCAGCGCCTTCACCATCAAACCCTCGCAGCCGCCTGCAAACCCTAAACCCTAAACCCTAAACCCTAAACCCCGCTGCTGCTGCTGCTGCTGCCTCTACTGCTCCTCTGCTGCTGCTGCTGCCTCTACTGCTCCTCTGCTGCTGCTGCTGCTGCTGCTAAACTGCTGCTGCTGCTGCTCCTAAACTCCCCCTCCCCCTCCCCTCCCCCTCCCTCCCCGCTGCTGCTGCTGCTGCTGCTGCTGCTGCTGCTGCTGCTGCTGCTGCTGCTGCTGCTGCTCACTGCGGATGGCCTGGAGGAGGAAGGTGGAGAATTCCGCGGGGGAGCGGACTGGGGCGTGGGTTGCTGCGCGGAGCCTGGGGTGTACGTACAGCTGGAGGGCGCGGTGCATGCGCTCGCGGCGCTGCAGCAAATTAGTTTTTAAAAGAGACTTTCCATTTAAATGCATGCAATCGAAAACAAAAACTGCAACTTTTACTTTTATTTCCGAGACTTCCACCAGCTTCCGCCGCCGGCTCGCCAGCACCTGAAACGGCAGCAGCTCCAGCGCCTCCCGCTGCTGCTGCTGCTGCTGCTGCTGCTGCTGCTGCTGCTGCTGCGGCTGCTGCTGCTGCTGCTGCTGCGGGGCGGCGCTGCTGCAGGCGACGGCTTCGGCGTCGAGGATGCAGCTGCGCGTGGAGCTGTCCAGACACTGCAGCACCAGCGCAGCAACGTCGGGGTACTTTGCTGTTATGTCTTCTTGTCTTCTGCTGAACAGCCGCACCACCAAAGGTCCTTTTGCTGCTGCTGCTGCTGCTGCTGCTGCTGCTGCTGCTGCTGCTGCTTCCGGTGTTGCTGCTGCTGCTGCTGCTGCGGCTGCTGCTGCGGCTGCGGCTGCGGGCGGCGAACCGGCGGCGCCCGCTGCTGCCGCTTCCGGCGCTGCTGCTGCTCCTCCCTCCGCAGCTGCTGCCGGAGATGCAGCAGCAGCAGCAGCA